CCCTAAAATCACAATTTATCATCATTACCTTTTAACTTTTTCCTTTAAAACAAAGCTTGCACGTGTTATCAAAAGGGTCCACTAGAAATTTTACCCATTTATTGGGTCCTCTCCGCATATCAAGAAGATAATCATAATGAGAGAAATAAGTTATAGGGAGATAAGTTTTTCTCATAATGAGAGAAATAATCTATTCATGTACTGAGCAAGTGTATGAAAAAATGGTTAAGGCACAAATTGTCAGAATTAAATTAGGAAAGAATTTAGAACATTTTGGCTTTTAGCTTCTAATACGACATCACATTTAACAAAAATGTCATGAAATGGTGGTGCCCTAACCATATTTTCATATAGTTGCTGAATATATGGACCGAAAAATGAAGCTGGATTCTCCTTCAGAACAATCACGTTTATTAAGTGAAATTCCAAAAATAATTCTTGAAATTGTTAATATTAATCTGTCACCAAGAGACTCATCTAGAAAAGATAAGTGACTCGATGTGAAATCCACTTCCGGAGATTTACTCCTTGTGGGATTCACGGGCGTTTACTTGTCAGATGATGTAGCCTTTGTTAATAAGTCCCTTATGTATTTTTAGTTTGAGAGAGGAGGAGAGATCCAGAGTCAGAGTGATGCACTTCAATACCAAGAAAGTAGTCAAGTTTCCCCAAGTCCTTGAGTGAAAATTCTTGAACAACTCAACATGGATCACTTTTGAATTAGAACTATCTTATGTTAGTAGGTGTTACCCCCTACTTATCACAGTAGGTGTTACCCCCTACTTATCACAGTAGGTGTTACCCCTACTTATCACAGTAGGGAGTAACACCTACTGTGATAAGTAGGTGTTACCCCCTACTTATCACAATAGGTGTTACCCCCTACCTATCAGTTCAATAGTTTCATATGAAGACAAATGTGGAAATACATAGAAAAAAATTATACCATCATCCAAATTCTGATGTTCCACCTCAATTGACTCTTCTATTAGAACATCTTGTACTCTTTCATGATGTCGTTCCCCTAAAAAAAATTAATTTAAGTAATTTGTATCAACCCAAAGTAGTTAAACTCAAATAAATCTACTCTTTTGATTGCCTTCCAATGGTCTTCAAGGGGTGAGGAAAGGAATTGACACACTTTGTTCACTAGTAAGAGATTTGAGGTCTAGTGACACTAGCATGTTGCAGTCCACCCACAATGGATCTGAAGAAGGTAGGATCAGAGACATGATTTGAACCATATTTGGATAGTTTTGTACGGGAAGCCACACTATTATGTTGCAGTCCATCACATACAACAAAACCATTTTTAATCAAAATCAATCTTTTTCAAATCAAACATTTCAAAACAAATATATTTTCCTTGTTAACTTGTAAGTGGTAACGTTCGTACACATCGAACAAAATACATAATACTTACAATGGAAAATTTATCTGTTTTCAAAAACATCTTTCTTGTTAACTTGTAAGTGAAAGAAGAAAATGTCTAAAATGAATTTCATTTTTAATTCTGATTCAAAATTAATTACTCTCATTGTCTTGTAACAAACAGTTATATTCACTTTCAATTTTCAAATTTTAATATATATATATATATATATATATATATATATATATATATATATATATATATATATATATATATATATATATGGGGGGGGAAATTATTATTATGTTTTCCTACGAGCATACGATAAAATTAAATAAATTTATTCAAAATTAGTGTATTCTCTTTATATATAGTAATAGATTTAAAGAATTGGAGAGAGAAATTATGACTTATGTGTCACTATAAAAAAATTAAACCAATTAATAAAAACTCTACCAATTAAAAAGTTAGAAATGAAAGATTTGTAAATTAGTAGAATTTTTTGAAAAATATAACAGACATTTAACAATAGACGTATAATTTTAATGATATTCATAATGATGATTTTTTAAACCTTTTAATTTTCGGTTATGGTTATGTTTACAAACATTATGTATAACTATAATAAATTATATATTATAATAAAACGACACCCTATTAAATGTTTTTATTGTGTATAGTATAATTTTTAATGTTATTCATAATACAATGTTTGTTAATTGTATAGTAAAATTTTTCGTTAAAAAGCATGTTTAGTTAATGGACATCCTTGTTTTGTGTTGTTTGATTGTGGTGCAACACACTCTTTTGTGTCATTACAATGTGTAAAGAGACTTCAAGTATACATTATTCCTACATACTACTATTAATGATGTTGTGTAAGGGATTTGTCACATCTCTTCTTGGAAGTTACATTTTCTTTTTAGACTTCAATTCTCATTCTTCTTTTATCTTTAAAAGTCATTTTTTCAATATTATTTTATTGTAATGCTGATAAGAAACAAAAAAAAAAACATCTATCTATAGTGTTATTTTTACTCTTATTCTTTTCTCTCTGTTTCCCATTTCTGTTTCTTTTTCCACTCTATTTTTAGTTGGTTATACTGAACTGAGTGATTAAAAACAATAAAATATGGTCTAGGATCTTCAAAGTCTTACCATCTCTATCAAACCAGAAAAAAGTAAAAAGAAGAGAAAAAAGAGATTATTTTGAATGTGAATGGAATATTAAATACTCTTTTATTTGCTCCAATTTGATAGTGTCTATTTCTTAATTGAAGATAAATTTCTCTACAACCACTCAAAATACAGGCTCCTGATAAATTTCTCTTACACAACATCATTAATAGTAGTATGTAGGAATAATGTATACTTCTACTAGTAGGCTAATATATATGTTACATGTATTCAATATCACGTGCTTTGTCAGTTTATACTAGAGAAAAGTTTTGTTGTATCACCCCTATGATCTTTTAAGTTTCACTATAATACTGGAGGTGACACTAAGTCACACATGAATAAATGCCCGATTTCAGGGAATAAATCCCTTCACACATGCTTCCAATAAATATAAGAGGGCATAATTTTAATACCTTACAAACCTCACTTCATTAAGGTAAATATCGTATTGTATCCAAACATTCCAGCTTGGTCATGGTTTCAGTCCACATAACATAAGTAGGGGGTAACACCTATTAACACAACATCATTGAATTTGAATGGGTTGAATTGATTTTTTAAGTTGGGAGATAAGTATGAGTGGACAGAACCATCCGAATCACCTTTTTTCTTCCCAAAAGTTTTTTAACAAAGGAGTGATGTGAATAAAATTCACTTTTATTAAGTTTATTTAAAGAAACCAAACATAAGATCGAGGTCGATAAAGGACACACTACCTTATACTTGGAAAAGGGGAGAAATAGACATTTGTTTATGAAAATATTTTTGAAAAGGGATCTCGACGTTGGATCGAGTTTTGAACATTTATTATGAAAGTATTTTTATTTTTTGAAAAAAAATAAACTCGACGTTGGATCGAGATTTTTACAAGTTTGGTTAGGAGTGCGTGAAGTGTACAAGAGTGAATAAATCATACAAGCATACAAGACATAATTTAAATATTTAGCACACAATACAAACCCCAAATATTATTTGCAAGAATTAAATAGAAATAATTAAAAAAAAGCAATTAATTAAAAAAAAGGAGGGTTCAAAAATAGCCTGTTTTAGTATAATTGGAGGTGTGGATAAGAAGGAGAATCATGTTGTGTGGGCTTGAGAGGTCGGGTAGAGGCATGGGAGAATCTACCTCTATGAAAAGATGGGTGCACGGATTTATGTTTTCATGACTAGTTTGATTGATAATGACTATGGCATGTATGAGTTGATGATGACATGTTTAGGTTCTTATAGCATGGCTTGATGTTGTTTCTTGTACTATGCTTGCACATGAACTGGACCATGTTATGAATGTGAACATTTGAGGTAGAACTAGGACTGCAATGTTTAAACTAGGAAATTGTGTTGAAGAAAGGCATGAGGTAAGAACAATGATGCATATATGTACTGCTGAACTGATATGTATATTTTTCTTGAGTATTTATAACCAATTGAATCTCACTAGAAACGTGTAATTTCAGTTTCTGCAATGCAAGATCTTAACATATTTTTATTTTCAGATTTATGATCTTGAACTTCGATTGTGTTCTGTATAGTTGCTGAAGTTGGTTGTAGTTCTGTATCATGGACGGATTTATGGTATAAGAATAATAAGTTGGTCATACGAAATAACGTCTGTTCTTTCTAGGATTTTTTAATTTAGGGTTGTTATTGTTTAGCCAATGTTGATGATTGCTAAGTGATGATAGGAATCTCTTCTTTTATTTGCTCATATTTTTTCATAGAATGCCTGCTAGTGTTCTTTGCCTGATCTTGTGTTGTTTAAGCTCGAATAGATCAGTATTCAATCCTCTTTCACCTTCAACATTCAGGAACTGTCGTTTCCTTCATTCATCAGGTTAAAGAAGATTGAATAGGGGCAGTTGTTGCACCCCAAAATTTGCCCTCATTCATCCGCATATTTTTTAATGAAGCAATAGACATTTATTTCGTCTCACAAAGCTTTCGAAGCTGTCGTGTCAGTTTGATCAGAAAACAGATAAAAATCAGAGATTCAAGGCAATATCGCTTTTATTCAGAGAACGTGGATAACTGACGACAAATTATGGTGCACATCGAGAAAAATAGCCTGAGATGAATTTTCGGTTGAAATCAAATATTTTTGCGAATTACTGGAATTATGCGATGCACAATCAAAATTTCTACTCATCACGAAAAATAAATAATAATAAAATGTTCATAATTTATTTTTATGACTTTTTACTATTAATTCGAAAAATAGTGAAAAAAAAATATTAATAATAAAAGTTCGCAATTTATTTTTTGCGATTTTTATTATTAATCGGTCCGATTATAAAAATCAACGAGAAAAAGAAATGAAAAAAAATAAGAAAGAAATAAATAAAAGAGAAAACAAAAAGAAAATAAAAAATTTATTTTCCATCCGGAAATTTTCTCTCCGTTCCAAACTACCGGGATTTTCTACCGGTAACCGAATTTCTTCCCCATTTCCGTTCAACCAAACAAAATTCCTTACACTATATAAATGAATTTTCTTCCCAATTTTCATAACTTTTCATTTTTGACAAAAAAAACAAAATTTCCAAGTTATTTCCCCTCTTTCTCTGAAAATTCAAAACAAAAACAATATAACAGAAAAAAAAAAAAAAATTTCCCTTTCTTCTTTCTCTCTTTCTCTCTCCTTCTTGCTTTCCCGCGGCCGTCTCACCACCTCCCGACCACCTCTCTTTCTTCCGGCGAACAGCCTCCGCCTTCTCCCTCTCTCACTTCTCACCGCGAATTCCTCCGACACAACTCACCTCCGTCAAACACACGAAGACCACCGGGAATTTCTTCCCTTCCGTCGCCGGTCCTCTTCCATTTCCGCTCACTACCACCGAAGCCACTCCCGCTACACCAACAGCACCATAACTTCGGGCTTCACGTTTCCGAAAGGTTAGTACAACATCCCCTTTTTCTTAGCATAACGGTCCGCAAGATTGGTATCAAAGATTTATCTTGCGATAGTGTGTTTATGCTAGTGAATTCGTGATAATTGTTATGGAAATAGCTTGATGATTGTGTGTTGTTTAGATTTCTTGTGAGTTGAAAATGTCATGACTATTGTATTAAGAAATTTATTGAGAGTTTAAATCTGTTTCGGGTTTCCAGTGTGAGTCGAAACGGCAATTGGACTGTGATGAATTCCGATTGAAGTGTTGATATTGACACCATATTATGATAGTTCCATTACATTTGATTGATGCCATGTCGTATTGATAATTTTGATTGAATTTTCGATGCCGATAACATGTTTGTGGTGTTAATATGCTTTAGTCATTGATATCGGTGCTTTTCCATATGTGCTGCACATTTTTTGAGATGATTTTGTCGAGCATTATGGTGGTTACGAGTGGCTGTCCGAGTTTGTGTACGAGAGCATGTTGTAATGTCGAATTTTTGAACTTTTGAATCGAATCCATGAGTTGATTAGTTTCTTTGTGTTATTAGGAATTAGCACTTTTTGGCTTGAGTTTTTTAATCGGCAATGCACCGATAAATTGGAAGAAATATGACTTGAATTGAAAAGCACCTTTGAATATTAATTTGTTGTGCGAAAATCGATTCCGGTGCGCTTTGGTTCAAGTGTGTGTGGCTGCCCGATTTAATGGTGCATTCTCTTTGATGATTTCTTTTTAGATAATTCGTCGCCTTGCTTGTAAATACTTGTGCACATTGTTTCCATTTGATCCGGACCATTTTTGTGCGTTTTCGTGAAATAATACGTGGCTGCCCGGATTTGACTCGTTTGAGTGTAGTTTACTTTGATTTCAAGTCTCTATGTTTGCGATGAAAATTGAACAATAGCATAAGTTTTTGAGCTTAAATTTGATTGTTATTCATGGCTGCCCGAGTTTTGACATGTATATGTAGAACTTGTTTTTCATATTCTTGAGGTTGATTTAAATGATAACATGATTTTTGAGCCTTATTTGTCATTAGTTTGTGGCTGCCCGGTTTCGTTCTAATTGATTAAAGTTTGATTTGAGTTCATCTTTTCATGATATGTCAATAACAAGAATTTTCACTTCTAATTCCATCTGTGGACCGACCCTTTTGTGATGTTCATGTCTATTAGACTAATTGTATGCTTTTGCATTTCGTTTGTATTTGATCCGAACCGACTTTATATGCATTTTTACATGGTAATACGTGGCTGTTCGGTCTAGGTTCTGTTAACAGGTTAAAAAGGATAGAAGTTGTTTCTATTAGCAACTTAGCAATGATGTTAGGTAAACTAGCAGTCTAGTATACCAAACATCACCAAACAAGTATTGTGAACCTAGCTTGGACACAGCAACACCTAACTGCTATTTAATTAGTGTTGAGATTGAAACTTGTTATTCTCATTTTCCCCCAAATTTTTGGTTGATTTGCATGTACCCATAGATGATAGAACTCGAAAATTTGAGTTGGGTCATGCTTGAATGTTGTTTAATTGATGAATGTGATGAAACTTGACCAGGGATATTGGTAGACCAGAACAAAATGGTTACTTGCACTGAGCACTTGGAAAATTTGCAAAACTGGACATTAGACCAAAGAATTAAAATTCGTCTAGAAGATACCGGTTTTCCACGTTTAAGCGAACTTGCAAAATGTCAACATGATAGCCAGCTTCTGAAATGTGTGGTATCCCATTTCAATACAGAGACATGTGGATTTGAATTTGGTGGTATAAAATTAGTTTTTGGCTTGAAAGATGTTCTCGAAATTACAGGCTTGCACATTACAGGCCAGTCTGTCACTGGGACCGCTGGTGACATGACTTATTGGTCCAACCAATGTTTTGGACAAGATTTGACCTTTAAAAAACAAAGGGCAATTCGAGGAGCCATTAAGCTATCTGTTCTTAGAGAAAAATTTATGGAAGTTCCACCAAGAGCAACTGAAGTTGAACTAGATCGACATACTAGAGCATATGCTCTTTATGTTCTAGGTTCGTCCTTATTCAGTAGTTCTTCTAAGGGGGATGTTGATACTCTCCATCTTCCATTGCTTTATCATGTTGAAAAAATAAAAGATTATGCCTGGGGTGCTGCTGCTCTTGCACACCTATATTGTTCTATGAAAAAAATTAAAGAAGAGGGTAAAAAGCATTTGCACGGGATTGCATTGTCCCTGCAGGTAAGTTATTTTATATTTCCATTCTCCAATTAAAAAAGTATTTCCTTTTAACAATTGAGAAATTAAGTGTCACTTCTTTTTGTTGTGATTTGATAGATCTTTGTATTCCTACATCTGACAAAGATCAAGGACTTACTCATGTTATCGAGTTTGGATTTCGTAAATGAACAACTTCCGTTGATCAATGATTGGTCGCGTCATTTAGAACAATTTACCTTGAACAAATGTAAAAAGGTAGATTATTTGGATTTAATTAGCACAACGACTGCTAAAGAGGTAAGTCTTGTAATTTAACAACACCAATATTTTTATTCGAAGTTTTTGCTTTAATCAATTTAGGAATTGGAAATTGTGTTGCATTTGTAGGTTAACTACAATCCATATGATAATATTCAATTCCCCGACCTGAAAGAATATTCAACTTTCGAGTTGGAAAGAAGGGTATGTTGTAAATCAACCATACAACCAACCTTTCTCATCAACTTTAATGAGGTTGCATTTTTTCAACCCCATAAATTTAAAAAACAATATTCTAATGCACGTGCCGGGGATAGAAAATGCACATACAAATGGAAATTGTACCCAAGAAGAGGTACAAAAGGGAAAAATTGGCAAGAGACGAAAAAGCATACAAAATATCTCAAGCATTGGAGCATAAGTTGTTTTAGTAAAAGACCACAACCTGGTATGTTTCTAATTCTACAGTCTTAAAAATAAAAATAGTTTCTGTATTTGCACACGTCTTTATATGAAACTAAGACTTACTTCAGTTTAACTACTTTGTGTTGATACAAATTACTTAAAACAAATTTTTTCAGAGGAACAACAACCCGAAAGAGTACAAGATGTTCGAACAGAAGAGCCAATTGAGGTGGAACACCATAATTTGGATGATGGTATAATTCTTTTCTCTACACCAGTGGGAGTTTTCCTTATTATTATCGTTTTGTATTATGTTTGTCAAAATATAAAAATTAATTATTAGCAGGACAAAAACCTCAATATCGTTGACAGCTGTCTAAGCTAGATTAGCTAAGTCTACTAAGCTAGGATTATACAACTAACTTAGACTAATCTTATTACATTATCTAATAAGTTTATACTACATTGTGCTTACACCCATCATATGGCATTCTCGAATAAGTTTGTTAAGAACGTGTGGTTGGGCCTAACTCAACCCTACAAAACCGGCTTGTAGGGTGAGGATTGCCCCCACTTATAAACACATGTTCATGCCATATATTGTCCGATGTGGGACTCTTAACAAAGTTTATACTACATTTTGCTTACACCCATCATATGGCAGTCGTGGACAATCAAGAAAAGCATTGTGGAAGGAAAAGAAAAAGCATATGGAGTTCAAAAGAAAATGAAGTTGCTCATGAGGAGGGTATAATTCTTTCCCTTACCTCACTAATCCTTTTTTTATTATCATAATATTTAATATTTAATCACCCTTTTCTTTCTTTTTTTTATCTTTAAAACGATGCGTTTCATGACTATTATGTCACCAACATGAGTGGTTGTATTGAAGATGCAGGAGATAACAATGAAGATGGGGGAAGAAACAAAGACCAAGGAGACACTAGGCAAGTGGAAGCAACATGTACCCGTTTGTCTGTTTCTAGAGTGTATATACGCCGCCGCAAAGGGAGTAACACGGGAAAAATGAAAACCAGTGAAGATGTGACGGTTGGCATTAAGCACTCCCTATATCTGCTGAAAGAACTACTTCCATGTTTAAAACAGTTGAGTCACGAAGAAATGATTGAGAAAGAGATAGAGGCTAGCAGACAAAGTATGTTTTCCTTTAAGAATTTCAGTTTAGTTTTTTCATGTATGGATCTATGTTGTTTCATGAATAAATTTGTCAACAACCACCTAAAACCACCTAATAAATGGCTTGTGCACGGCCACCTACCTTGTGCTGAAATTCAATCAAATTTTATTAGAAGTATGGGGGCGACAAGTATCAAACTCTAGACTACTTAGTCATAGAGGCTCTGGTACCATGTCTATAACCACCTGTCCCCAAAGCTTAGGCTGTCAGGTGAAGGCAAGTTAAAATGATGCTGATATTGAGCTAAATTTGATCAGGGTATGTGTTCCAGTAGAATTGTCTGTTTTATAAACTTTGACTTTTGAACCCTATGACTGTTGGCCTTTGGATTACTTACCTATTTGATATCCTGCTTTTTACTATTTTTATTGTATGTTTTGTTGGATTATAGGTCCAGTTTGCCTCTCATCTTATGCCCTAGTTAATACTAATTTCTAATAATTATTAATTTCATCCCATATATGTTCAGTTTTTAATTTGCTTTTGGGATGTTCGTTACAGGGCTCTTAGTCTCACAGCTATGTATAGCAGAGCTAGATGACTCGGGCGGAGACCGGGTGTTCTGGTGGGGAATTATTCAATCTATTGTTCTCTTGTAGTTATCCTCATGTTTTATAGCTGTTTACTTAACCCTTTTTTTTGTAGTGACAAATGCAAGACGTCAATATTTGCCCTCCACAAACATTGTCAGACATGCAATAGTGACTTTTGTCTCGCCTGTTGTCGTGACTTTTGTGATGCGCAGCTTCGAGGTGGTGCTGATCCAATTGAGTCACGTGTTACTGCCAAACATGGGGTTCACAAACGGCCAAGATCTGATAAGCATGAGGATAGTGATGACAGAGTTTGCTGTGATGGGTTTCTTGAACTGAGAAGCTTCTATCCTCCAAGTCACATTGCTGATTTGGTAGATGAAGCAAAAAAATTTGTAGACAAATACATGCATCGCATGCCTGTGATTTCAGACAAAACTCATAAGAACTTGCATTCAAGTTTGAATCGTAAGGCAGCATCTCGTAAAGAGTCAAGCGATAACGATATATATTGTCCGGAGGCTAAAAATACATGTCCTGAGGATTTACTACATTTTCAATGGCACTGGAGAAAAGGGGAGCCAGTAATTGTCAGGGAACTGCTTGGAGGTACTTATAATTCATTATGGAATCCATCAAGCATGAGCCGTGCAATCTGTCAGAAGCACAAGACTGTGAAGGTTGATAGCCATTTCATCGTGGAGACTGTCACCTACCTTCGTAACAGCCTCCTATTGTACTTAGATTGTTCAAATCATGTCTCTGATCCTACTTTTCTTATATTATTGGATTGCTCTTTGGCAGGTGTTGAAACCAGCGTGATAACAGTGGTTTATCTCTTCTAAGTAAACGCCCGTGAATCCCACAAGGAGTAAATCTCCGGAAGTGGATTTCACATCGAGTCACTTATCTTTTCTAGATGAGTCTCTTGGTGACAGATTAATATTAACAATTTCAAGAATTATTTTTGGAATTTCACTTAATAAACGTGATTGTTCTGAAGGAGATTCCAGCTTCATTTTTCGGTCCATATATTCAGCAACTATATGAAAATATGGTTAGGGCACCACCATTTCATGACATTTTTGTTAAATGTGATGTCGTATTATAAGCTAAAAGCCAAAATGTTCTAAATTCTTTCCTAATTTAATTCTGACAATTTGTGCCTTAACCATATTTTCATACACTTGCTCAGTACATGAATAGATTATTTCTCTCATTATGAGAAAAACTTATCTCCCTATAACTTATTTCTCTCATTATGATTATCTTCTTGATATGCGGAGAGGACCCAATAAATGGGTAAAATTTCTAGTGGACCCTTTTGATAACACGTGCAAGCTTTGTTTTAAAGGAAAAAGTTAAAAGGTAATGATGATAAATTGTGATTTTAGGGTGTGATTATTGGTTAAAGACATATTGGAGATTAAAAGATATGATGATACACTATATCATGTCTTTTTACTACATATAGTTTCGCCACCTTCGGTATGGTACATATTTGTCGATGACGATATTGAAGCATCGCTTACCATTGATTTGTTGGATGACGATGATCCTTGGATCATAACCACTGACTTTACCCCTAGTGAGACCATCAGTCGATGCAGGTTTTATAGAATTTCAATTTCGCGTCGTTACTGTGCCTTAACCATTTTTTCATACACTTGCTCAGTACATGGATAGATTATTTCTCTCATTATGAGAACTTATCTACCTATAACTAATTTCTCTCATTATGATTATCTTCTTGATAACAAATTTTCCAAATAATCACGTTCGACATTCCGCATCTTGCTTCTTTCTAATTAAATAGTGCGAAACAAACTCAGCTTCCATGAATTATTAAAAATTATATCAACATCCAAAATACGATAGATCTTTGTCTTCATATGAAACTATTGAACTGATAGGTAGGGGGTAACACCTATTGTGATAAGTAGGGGGTAACACCTACTTATCACAGTAGGTGTTACTCCCTACTGTGATAAGTAGGGGTAACACCTACTGTGATAAGTAGGGGGTAACACCTACTGTGATAAGTAGGGGGTAACACCTACTAACATAAGATAGTTCTAATTCAAAAGTGATCCATGTTGAGTTGTTCAAGAATTTTCACTCAAGGACTTGGGGAAACTTGACTACTTTCTTGGTATTGAAGTGCATCACTCTGACTCTGGATCTCTCCTCCTCTCTCAAACTAAAAATACATAAGGGACTTATTAACAAAGGCTACATCATCTGACAAGTAAACGCCCGTGAATCCCACAAGGAGTAAATCTCCGGAAGTGGATTTCACATCGAGTCACTTATCTTTTCTAGATGAGTCTCTTGGTGACAGATTAATATTAACAATTTCAAGAATTATTTTTGGAATTTCACTTAATAAACGTGATTGTTCTGAAGGAGATTCCAGCTTCATTTTTCGGTCCATATATTCAGCAACTAT